GCAGACTCAGCCGGACTGGAGCAGGAGGCGCGTTCTCATCCCTGCCGTGTGCTCATGCAAAGCAAGCCCAGAGGTGCCAGGGACCCAGACCTGCACAGCTCGCGGGGACACGCGTAACAAAGCACAACTTTCCTCTATCCTTCTCCACTCACAGAATTTTCAGACTGAGAGTTTCTACTCCTCTTCTCTTCCCAGACACGAGTCGAGTGGCATCACCTCCACTTTGTGCGGGGTAATTGATTCACTCAACAGATATCTGGAGAGCTCCTGTTAGGCACCAGGCTCTAGTCTCCGAAAAGCTAAATTCAAAGGAACCGCGTATTCCCAGTTCAGACCCATGTCCCCTGCATCGGCTTCCTTCCAAAGTCTCTGTTGATCCCTGAAGGGGCTAGAGCCGTTCACTCCCGTACCTGCCTCCGCTGTGTTTTTCCCCACACCGCCAAGCAATTCTGCGACACCAGCTGGGTGCCCTACACTTCAACTTAGCTACCTGGAGTTAGCCTCAGATCCCACAGGGTGAGTAAGGCTCAGTCCCACAAGACTGTCCCTCCGCACACACATTTCAGATGCCGATGGCAAATCCAGGTTATCACCTGGGCTTCGGACCAACTGGCTGTAGATCGGAGGTCCCTACTCCGCCCTCTGCTAGAGCAGCTCACAGCACTCAGAGAAGCAGCGCTCCTACCAGGTCACCACTTTAGCATCGGAGGATCTGACCCGGGAGCAGCCGATGGAAACAGTGCACAGAGCACGCGCAGGGGGAGCGGAGTTCGCCTGCATTCCCTGACTCTCCACATGTCCACCAACACGACGCTCTCGGGTCTTTGTCCTTCTGGGTTTGTATGGAGGCTTCATTACATAGGCAGGAGGGACTAAGTCACTGGCCACTGGTGACAGAACTCAAGGTCCAGGAGGCTGGGGGTGCGGGACTGCCAGGAACGGGGACAGAGACCAAACACCTATTTGTTATTAGAAACCACAGAATCACACCGCCTCTTTCCACACCCTCGCCCTTCCTTCTCCAGCTTCCTCAGCTCCAGGGAGCCCACCAGCTGGACCCCTCTCTGCCTGGTCCACTAAATGGGGAGAAAACCAAGGTCTGTTCAAAGGGTATCCCATGTCCTCTAACAAAAGGCAATCCTCCTACACGAAGGCACTCCAACAGCAGAGATAAATACGCCCGTTGGTAAAAATCAAAACAACTCAATGCTAGCTCTGCAGCGCATTAAAATGAAATATAACAGTGACACTCTCACTAATCTGAGCAACACCAAGACTTCCCAGACACCTGAACAAAATAAAGACCAGCTGCAAACCACAAACATTCTGCTTCAGTAAGAATGGCTTTGAGGTACCGGGCAGAGGCACCAAGTCCGTCAGCTAAGTGTGACCTCAGGAGCTGTCCCCTTTGCTGCCTCCGTTTAATGACACTATTGAAGGTCTCCTAATGTTTCTTCCTGGGCTGACCAAGGATTCTTCTCTTCTAAAATTCTATTAAACTTATGACAGTGATTTCCTACGCGTCCTATTATCTTTGTCTCCTTTGAGCTGGGGTTCCATTTAATTTAATTTAATTTATTTCATTTTACTTTTCATTTCCTTCCAGCCCCTCAGCCGCCAGCCCTGCACTTCTGATCCTGACACCAGCCTCCTCGGTAGCTGCCAAAGGCGATCCTCCTAATCTCCGGTCTGTCCGGCTTCGTTCCCGTTGTAAACGCAGATCTCGTCACTCTTCCTGTCCGCGTTCTGAAAAGGATGTGCTGTTTTCCCCAAAACAACAACAACGAAGCAGTTTCACCAGAAGATTGGCCTTTTGCTCTCAGGAAGTCAGCTGCCGCTCTTACTCCTCGTAGCTGCTTCAGCCCGTCGTTTATGAGCTCGGCCCTCCCTCCCCATGACAGCAGGCTCGCTGGGACACGTGAAGCTTTATGAAGATGAAGAGGGGTCCCAGGGAGGAGCCACACTGCATAGCAGATGGTACTCACCCCCAAATCCCCACCAGGAATCCCTTCTCTCCCTCGGTCTGTCTCCCTGGCCGCAGGGGGCACCAAGGCCCTGGCCTCCTCATTCCCACTGCTAGGCTGCGGTTCTAAGGCTGGGACTCTCTGAGAGGAGAAGCTTTAGGAATTACTGATACCAGGTTCTAACCTGGAGACAGCGCCACACTTGGCCTGGAGTGGGGCCTGGGCACTGAGATTCTCCACAGCCTGCTCAGCCCCTCCTCACAGGCAGAGCCTCCAGCTGCATCCCCAAGCTTGAACACCCAGCTTCTCTCTGAGCCTTTAGGGCACATGCTCTCCAGTTTTCCATAGTCCTCACCACTCCTTATTGTCTTCCCCACTAAGACTGAGCATCATTTGCTACCATCATTCATGTTTGCCCTTCAGTTTTCCTACAGCTGAAAGGGGAGTGTTTCTTCTCTTCAGGTCTAAGAAAAAAGAGGTGACTACCAAGGCCCCGTGTTTTGTCCATCTGGCCTACTACATTCGCTTCCTATAAGGGCATTTAAACTTGCGACCCTGGCCTTGTCCTCACGTCATCCTATTAGTATCATTCCTGTGTTGCAGGTCAGAAAACCCAGGTTCCAGCTCACCCATCTCATGAATGGTAGACACGCTCAGGTCAGTCTGACTCAGGTGCCCATGCTCGTAGGACCAGCAGGACCCTTCCTTCTCCAGCGAGCTGCCTCGGTTTCCTACCCTTTCCTACTCTCCGAGAGCTCTGGCTGTTGGTAAGTCCCTCCTTATGCCAAGTCCCAAATCTGCTTTTTGTCTGCAAAAACAGCATTCATGTGACAAGACAGGGAGGAAAGGAGAGTCTGGGGGCTGGATGCATTCGGCTGCCCAGTAGGCTCCGCTCAGCTGGGGGCAGCCGTGTCTTTACTGTCCAGACAGACTGCCCTGGCCAGTGGGCCCCAGAACTCCCACAGAGCCAGAGGCTGTGGGCTCGAAAGGAACCAGGTGCTCATACGCCGGCAGAAAGCAAAAGCTCCCCGGAGACCGGGAGGGTGGGCTTGGGGGTCACTGGGAGGGCAGAGGAGCGATGCCTGGAACACAGCGCTGAGGTGCAGCAGAGGTTGAGGGATGCGCTCTGCAGACAGAGGCAGGGGCCACGAAACAAGCAAACACGTGGCCTCTGGAGCTAGAAAGTCAGGGAGTGGATTCTGCTGGTCTACGGACACCAGGGCATCAGGGCTTCTGAACCCAGCGGTGTACGACAGCCATGTCCTGGTATTTTACAAGTTTTCATTCGTTGCAGCAGCAAGAGGAAGTGCATACAGCTAGAACACGAGCAACGGCATTCTTTCTTTGTCCCAGTCGCTGTGCAGGAGGAGGTACATACATGTCCCTAGGACCTGGGGGACCGGACAGGGGGATCAAAACAAAACAAAAATAACAGGCAATTCCTAAGAGATTTAGCAACAGTTTTCTAGTTGCCAAGCATTTATCATTGACACCGTGGGGACTGACAACATGCTCAGCTACAAATCTACATTTCTGGCCTCCGTGCCAGGAGGGCTGACCAAAGAGAAATGAATGGAAGTTGTCAAGTGGGACTTCTGGAGAAGCTTTCTGTTGGAGCCGACTCAGCTGGCAGGTGCCTTTTCCTTCCCCCAGCCTTTCCTTCATCCTCATCCAGACTCAGAGTTGATGGCTGGAAGGCAGCAGTTACCACGTGCCTATGAGGAGCCTTTGAGAATAGCGGGACAGAAAGATGGAGGTCTGGGTGCCGAATGACATCACGTGGCCACCATAAAAGTTCCAGTCACCAGTGATGTTCCTCACACACTGATCTGTTAAAGACCCGCTGCTGTTCGGAAGTCTTCAGTGGCTTCCCAGCCCCTCTGGATAAAATCCACTCTCTAGTGTGACATTCAGGACCCTTCACACCCAGGCCCAGCAGAGCCGCATCCTGCCCTGCCCCACAGCCCATGCGCCCAGCCACCGCACACTTCTCAGCTCTCTGGTTCACACCAGTCACCTGATGTCTATGGTCTTCCTATGTGAAATGTTCTATGTTCTATGCTTGTTCTTCACACCTAATTCTCCTCCAGGAAGCCTTCCCTGATGCTCTCAGAGTAAGCCCTTGCCCCCCATGGACTTTGAAGGCAAGTTCTTTGTAAAATACCTCTGATCTGTAGCACACTGTGTTAAAATTACTTGTTTTTGATCAGGCTGTTCCCTTAGACTATGAGTTCCTCAAGGAAGGGACAGAGCCTGCTTAGACCCGCTGTTAGCAGATCCTGAGTGAATGAGTAGGTGGACAGATGAATGGATGCAGAGACCTTGGCCCTGGGGACACGGAGTCTTCATTCTTCATGCTGTGGAGGCTTCGAGTGGTAGCTGAACTGGAAGAGGACCAGAAAAACTGGGCAGGCACCTAAGACAGGTGCACCCCAGTGGCGCCGTGGTCCATGAGTACCCTGGGAGCTTTCACTAGGGGCAGGACGAAGGGCAGCGTAAACATGGATTCACATTCTCTCCACGAGGCGTCAAGAAGACAGAGGCGGGTGGGCATCAGCAGTCTCCTTCCCTGTCTCACCCCCAGCGCCCACCCCCACCCATGCATGTTCAGAGGGAAACCCACATGTAGGAAAAGCTCAGCCCTGCTCTAGGCTACCAAAGAGCAGGGTCAGGTACAAACTACTCTCACACGAATCCCCCCAGACAGCACTCCAGTTCTCTTGTGAAGCCCTTCCCCACACGTGAGCTGGTCTCCTCCTCCCCACAAGGGTAAGCAGAGCCCCCATTATTATCATTAGGGCCCCATTTTACAGGTGGGGGTATGGTGGCCCAGAGCAGGGAGGTATGTCCACCTCTCGCAGCAGCAGGAGGCAGAGCCAGGGCCCCACCCCACCCCCACCCCAGGAGCTCCAAGGCTGACACGGTGGGGCACATTCCAGGACGTCACACCACCAGCGGCGCAGCTGCCAGCCAGTGGCCGTGGGGATGCCAGTGCCCGCCCGCAGCCCCCTTTAAGGAGCGCCGGGCCACCCAGCAGAGTGCTGGTCTTAATTTTAGCTTGGAGGCCAGCCACGGAGGCTTTAGAGAGAGGCAGGCTGGAGTTATGTGGGACAGCTGTCATCTGGCATGCTGGGTGGGGCCTATTTAGCCGGCAGGGGCACAAGTCTGAGGACACTGAACTAGTGTCCCTGCCCCAAGCCTTTCCCTCCCCGGGTCCCCCGGCTCCACGATGATGGCCGAAGAGCACACGGACCTGGAAGCCCAGATCGTCAAGGACATTCACTGCAAGGAGATCGACCTGGTGAACCGAGACCCCAAGAACATTAACGAGGACATCGTGAAGGTAGGCTGGGGGGGCCTGCCCCGCGCCGCCGCCCAGAGGCTGTGGGGTTCGCAGCGTGGGTACTGGCCGGGAGGGCTTGGCTTCACACACAGTCAGCTCCCCTGAAACCAGACCTTGCTCCTGTCTTCTCCAGTTCCTCCCCGAAAACCCAACTTGTACACCCGCCGCAAAGAACCTTTACATAAACAGGAGCAAAGAGCTAGTCACACACGGGTGACCCAGGCATGCACGGGGCGGAGGAGCAGGTCCCAGTCCTTACTACTCGGAAGCTCCTCCCATTAGCTCCTGGCCCTTGTCCCAGGATGAAGACAAGGTGGCAACTTGGGCTCTTCTCCATGCCAGGGGGCATTGCTGCGGTCTCCACATGTGGGCCTGGGGTTAATCCCTGCAGGGCAGTTTCTGGCAGGGCCAGCAGCCCTCCCGGGGCACTCACCACCCCCACCTCCCGCAGCAATGCCCAATGCCCATGCCCCAGGGGTGGGGGCCGTGCCCAGCACTCATGCCAGCTTCCTGCCTGACCCCTGGTCCAGAGGCCAGGCCAGGGCTGAAGCCTCTCAGAGGCTACCCACGCCCCTGAACGAAATTGCTCAGACGAGGGGTGGGTGGGGAGCCCTCAGTGAGTCACCCCCACCCACAAGCACTGCCTGAGTCAGGCCCTTTCCCCGCCCGGCTGCCTCCCACACCCTCTCTCCAGCCTCCACTGGCACCCTCGGGATCTTCCTACCGCAGAACTGCGGGACGCAGGGAGCCTCCCCTCCAGCATCAGTCACTGGAGGGGCTGTCGGAGGGCGGGTGCCACAGAGCGCACCGGACTTCAGACGAGCACTTTCCCACAGAAACAAAACACGGCCCATTATACAATCACCCAGGCAATCGTGCATGTTCTAGCAGCCATGATTTTACAAAGGAAAAATGAAGTGGAGTGGGTGGAAGTAGAAGAAGATATGGAGGGATAAATGGTGATGGGGAAAAAATAAAATAAAATAAAGAAGAAAAAAGGGAAAACAAACAGGGACGTTAATTTTCATAGTTTTGATTTAACTCTGTATATCCAAAACAGTATCATTGCAACATGTAATTGATACAAAACAAGTACCAGTGAACTTTCTTCAGCTTCAGAATCCAGTGTGTATCTCAGACTTAGGGTGCATCTCAGTTCAGACTCCGAATTTTTATCAGGAATCCTTGTTCTGTATTTAATTGCATAAAATGTATAGTTGAAATGCCCAAACCGAGTCACTTGGCAGAATTATTCCAAATATTCTTAAAAGTTTGCTGATCCTAGAACTGAGGATTAGTTTTTACATTTTAATTAAAATTATTCAAAATTTAGAATTCTTCTGTTGTACTGGCCCACAGCTCATGGCCATTGAATCACACGGTGTGGCTGAGGACGTGTCCGAGAGCCCCCTGCACTGCCACCCTGCAGGGGGGCGCCTCCCAGCTGCAGAAAGTCTAACTGCTCCCTATGGCTTTCAAACCCAAACAGTCTTGGCCCCAACCTTCTTCTCCCGTCTTCCAGCCCCTATGCCAGGAGGCAACCTTGCCAACCACAACACGCTCCTGTCTATGCCAGGAGCACCCACCTCCTTACCTCCACGTGGGGAAGGCCCTGCTCAGCCTTCAAGACCCAACTCCACCATCACCTCCACCAGGAAGCCTTTCCAACTCCTCCGGGGAGTTTAGCTGATTCTTCTGTGCCCCCACGTTCACCCAGAACAGCTCATATTATGCTATTATTGTGTGTATAGGGAAACATTTTACAAAGGGGGACACTAGGTGGCAAATTTTGAGAACCAAAAAGCACTCTATAAGTGGTGAATAGCATTCTTCACGGTTTGCTCAGTGTGGTCTAGAGGGAATAGTCCCGGACTTGACTTGAACTGATCTGGTTCCAAATCCAGACTCTTCTACCTACAGGTGATGACACTAGACAAGGCATCTAGGTTTCCGAGTCTGAGTTTCCTCTGGGAAATGAGCATAATGTCATCTGCCTCCAGCAGGTAAATGACTCTCAGAGCAGCACTGTGCAATGGGAGTGCCCTGTGGGGACGAGGTGACACAGGGGTGGGGCATGAGGCTGTCCCCGCACACAGGAGGCTGTGGTCACTGCGAGCCGAGCGAGCCTAGGGGGGCTTGCAGGCAAGACAGCCGAGCCAATGCCAGCTTTTACACCAGGCCCCCTCTGGGGGTCCCTGGCAGCTGCTGGGAATGGAGAATAGGACCCAAGGGAGAATCTAGTTTCCACAGAAGACCCACAGTGAGTGACAGGTGGAGAGAGGCTCTCGGGTCCTACTGTGCCAGGGGTGAGCCATTCCAGGCTCTAAGCCCCAATTTCACCCGAGGGAGGGATGGGGGCCCCACGGGTGTAGCTGCTCCTGCAGCCTCCTCTGGGGCTGAGCCCCCAAAAATGTCTCTCAAAGGTGAAGCAAGAGGCCCCACAAATAACCTTGTCAATATTATTTGGTATAGTGATTAGACATTCCCTAGTTTGGGTAGTTATTGAACTTTTCCTTTCTTTTGTTTTTCATGAGTGAGAAATGAAAATGTTTCAAAATTTAGAATGAGGATCTTAAAACGGAGTCAGACAAATACCACAAACAGGTTCGATCAGACTTCAGGGTGGTGTGATGGTCTGTGGAAGAATCGAGAGGAAGGAAGGAGAGAGGACAGGGTGGATCACCTGGGGAAAGACCAGATGGAGGGAGGAAGAAGGAAAAGGTGGTGAGGGAGAGATGAAGGCTGGGAAGGCCCCTGTCACGCTCTTTGTGGCCTAGAATTAGTGAGACAGTAAGATGCAGACCTAAGACCAGCTACAGAGACCTCAGTTCCGGTCCCAGCCCTGACACTAGCGTGCTGTGTGATTCTGAAAATCCCTTTCCTCTCTGGGCCTGAGTCCCTGGTGTAGCTGGAGGCTGGGTGGAGAAGAGGGAGACCCGTCCCCTCGACCAGCTGCTGAAGTTTCATACAGAAAAGCCAAAAATGGAGAATAGGGGAAGGATCCAATGTGTCCGCGATTTCACCCCAGCTGAGGGGAGGTGCTCCCTTTTGACTTTCCAGAGTTAAAATCCCCCCAAACTTCCTGAGCACGGTCTGGTGCTGCCCTTGAACCCAGGCTGGAAAATAAGCCCTGTACAGCCCAAGAGACTTGAACTGTGGTCTGCAAGGTTCGGGGCTGGCCCAGGGCAGAGGGGGCCCTGGGGGACCAGAGCTGAGGAGCTGGGGAAGCACAGTGCATTCCCTCCCCCCTCCCCCATCATTCTCGGGACACTGGTTCCACGGATCACTACTCAGGGCCTGCCAGGTGCGGGCACTGTGCTGTTCAGAGAGATGGTGCTGAGCAGGACAGCCCCGCAGCCGGGCTCGGGGGCGGGCATGTGTGCCAGCAGTCCCCGGCTGTCACCAGTGGGGACACCTTTCCCTGCAGAGCATGTGGTGAAGCCTCCAGCCCCCCTCCCAGGCATTCCTGCAGGACCCCAGCCCACCGGAAGTCCTGAGCTATTTCTGAGGGCGCAGGGCTGCCTGGTCAGCAGCACTCTCTCCCCCTACCTCCCACACAGGCCCCCCGAGGGTCACGAAGGCCCTTCCACTTCTGGCTCTGCGGCTCTCTCCTTAGCCACTCGAAGCAGGCCCTTCAAAAGGGGCAGAGGACAGACGGGATCCCAGCCCACCTTCTGGGTCCCATCCCACCTCCCGCCCACACCTGCCACCAAACGCAGAAAATGCAGACGGCAGCCTTCGCTGCAAACACCCGGGGGCCGGCGGCAGCCCACCCGTTCTACCAGCTCTGCTCCCAGTGTGGGCCCCCGGACGTCTGTTACAGAAAGATCCAACGGACCTGTACTTCCTCCGTCTCGAGGAGACGCCAGCTCAACAGAGGAGATGAGCCTGAACTAACGAGCATGCAGGGGAGCTGCTAAATGCCGCAAACAGCGCCAGCCGAAGTGTCCTGGGAGGCTGAGGGAGGAAGCCACTACTTCCATCTGGGAAACCAGGAGCAGCTTCACGGGGAGTGGAGCCCAGGTGCATTAAGATGATGGGAACGATAGTAAATGTGGAAAGGAGGAATAGGCTCTCCCCAGGAGGAGACAAAATAAGCAAAGGCCACATCACCGAGAAGCGTGTTGGGCAGAGGCAGCACGTGTGGGGGATGGGTGCTGCCCTCCCCCACCTGTGTCCACGTTGACGGGACTAGCGGATCACAGCGCTTTTCCCGGAAGCCATGGACCATCAGCGAGGTAGGCAGAGCTGGCACCCAGATGAAACCTCTGCTACTCTGTCTGCAGGAGAACAGGGGACTAAGACAAAGCATCTGAAAGGGACCTGGTGGAAGAGAAGGCAGAAAGGGCAAGTTGAAGCTGGATTATGGAAGGTCACCCAACCTGCCAGTCATTCCACACTGGCAAGTCCTTCCTTTCGGCCATGTCCTGCCCTCTGTCAGGATCTCTAGGAAGGGCTGCATTGGGCTAACTCTCACTGAAGTATTTATAACTTAGTGTCATGGGGCTTCTGGGTATCAGCCAGTCTAGAGTTCTTCAAAATATGGCCCACTTTCTTGAGGGGGGGTCTGTTAAAATACAGACTTCTGGGACCTGCCACCAGACATTCTTATTCAACAGGACTGGTGAATGTTTTGTACTTTCAAGTGCAAACACTTCCTCTTTATCCAATAGAAGACAAACCTGGAGTCCAGTTATCACCAGTTTCCTTAAAGACACACTGTATCAGTTAGCTACTGCTGTGTAACAAATCGCCCCAAACCTTGACATCCTGAAGCAACCACCATCTGATGATCTCCCACAGTTGTGTGAGTTCACTAGACTCAGCTGGGCAGTCTGCTGATCTCCCTGGCAGCAGCTCCCGCAGTTGCCTTCAGATGGCAGCCAGGGCTGCAACCTCCTGGGCACCCACCCACCTGGAACCTCCAGGATGGCTCGCTCACATGCTGGCGCCTTGGCAGGTATGGCTGGGAGGCAGGGCTCGGCTCCGGTGCTGGTGGC